AGAAGAAAATGATGGTTTAAGAGTCTCAGCTCAACTTTTTTGCTGGAGACTATGCAAGTGTGTGAATTTATACTAGTTCTCTGTGTTGCAGAGATATTACAATCTTTCTCTATTTTTGGCACTTCCTAACATACTCAAATTCCAATCTATATCAGGTAAGTAAATGACTGATGAAATCCTTGATTAACATAATTGCTGGACAGGATTGGAAAACATCTTGGCTGACTTGATTGGCTTTCCATGAAATTGATTTGATGAGGGATGAATCTTGGCTGAATCAATTTCGGTTGTCTTGACTGACTTTAACGTGGTTTGATTGCCTGTAAATGACTGGGAATTCTTTTGTGTGCAAACTGTCTGGCTTCCTTCCTTTTCTTCATTAACTTGCCAAGTAATGTTTCTGCTAATACCCTCCCTCAAGTTGTGACGGGGCTGGAGACACAACTTGCCACAAAGCGAGTATAAACTGGGCTTGGGAAGAGGCTTTGTAAATATATCAGCGAGCTGATTCACAGATGAAACATGGCGAGTGACAAGCTGACCAGCAGCAACTCGCTCCCGAACAAAATGATAATCAAGTTCAATATGCTTGCTTCTAGCATGAAAAACTGGGTTAACGGTCATGTGTAGTGCACTCAAATTATCACAGAAAAGGATTGGCGGAGATCGAAGAGGAACACGGAGATCACGGAGGAGGAAAGTGAGCCAAGTAAGTTCAGCTGTGGTGTGAGCCATAGATCGATATTCAGCCTCAGTACTGGATCGAGACACCGTGCTTTGTTTTTTTGCACACCAGGAGATAAGATTCCTACCAAGAAATGTGCAGTACCCAGTGGTAGAACGTCTAGTTGTGGGACATCCGGCCCAATCTGCATCAGAAAAAGCAAAGAGATCAAGAGTAGACTGTGAGTAGAATTGTAGTCCAAGAGAAAGTGTCCCTTTAACATAGCGCAGAATGCGTTGGACCATTTTTAAGTGTGACTTGCAAGGAGCTTGCATAAATTGAGAAGCGAGATTAACACTAAATGCAAGATCAGGGCGTGTGAGTGTTAAATACTGAAGTGCCCCTACAATACTACGGTAGACACTAGGATCAGCAAGAGGAGTATCATCTGCCGTACTACTGAATTTTGGTTCTAGAGGAGTACTCATTGGTTTGCAATCAGTCATATGATTCTTGTCTAGAAGTGTAAGAGCATAATGGGTCTGAGATATATGCAAGCCATCAGAGTTAGATAAAATTTCCATTCCAAGAAAGTGGTGAATGGTGCCTAGGTCCTTCATGGCAAACTCGTGGTGTAGAACATCAATAAATTGATTTAGGAACAATGGACTGGAACCTGTAAGCAACATATCATCAACGTAAAGTAACAAAATTAGTACACCATGTGGGGAATGATAAATAAATAAAGATGGATCTGCTAAGCTGCAAAAAAATCCAAATTGTAGGAGAAATGAGCTAAATCGATCAAACCATGCTCTGGGCGCTTGCTTGAGTCCATACAGGGCTTTTTCAAGTTTACAAACATAGGTGGGATGAGAGGGATCAGCTAGACCAGGGGGTTGAGTCATAAAAATATCCTCAGTGATGTGACCATGTAAAAACGCATTTTTTACATCCAATTGTCGAATTTCCCACTTGTAAACAAGAGCGAGACTGATGACCATACGAATAGTGCCTGGCTTAATGACTGGGGAGAACGTTTCGACATAATCGACGCCATCCACTTGATGATATCCAATTGCCACAAGTCGAGCTTTAAGACGGTCAAGTGAGCCATCGGGCTTTAGTTTTGGCTTAAACACCCACATCGATCCTATGACATGCATATCTGGAGTTCGAGGGACAAGTTTCCATGTGTGGTTATGATGCAAAGCTTCAAGTTCTTCAAGCATTGCTTTGCGCCATCCAGGATGCTGAAGAGCGACCTTAACATTGCGAGGTTCCTGTGGTATTTCACCCCGAGACACATTAAGAGAATATTTGGGATTTGGCTTAGTTATCCCATCTTTTAGTCTTGTCACCATATGATGTTCGGTGGGAGGTGCCGTTAATTGTAGTGGAGGAACAGGAACATTTGATCCATCGACATTACAACCTGATGAAGATTCAGTGAAGGAGTTTGTTTCAGCAACCACAATCAAATCTTGTTCAGCAGAAGAATCTGGAGGAGACACAGGTAAGGGGCGTAGAGGACTGTCTAAAGACTCTATGTTGGCATTTGCATCCGAAATGATTCTTTCATGGTCAAGATGGATTTCAGGAGTCTGAAATCCCTCATGGGTGGCAACTTCGACATCTGATGGAGTGGAGAGTGAATTCGAATGATCACCAGATGCAGGTGTTATTGAGTCCTGAAATGACAGAGAAGTTTTATCAATATTAGTTGTATCAATCCAGTCATTAAATTCAGTAATATTAGAAGAGCCAGCAGAAAGTTGTTCATTTGCTGATTTATAAGGAAATGAGTCCTCTGAAAATGCAACGTGACGAGAGATGAAAAATCGACGACTAGGAGGATGATAACATCGATAGCCTTTATAGTTGTCGCTGTAACCTACAAAGATACAAGGAAGCGTTTTAGGATCAAACTTATTTCTTTTAGAGTCCCAGGTATACGGATAACAACGTGAGCCAAAAACTCGTAAACAGGAATAATCTGGATGTCTATGATGAACTTTATGGTAAGGAGTATCAAACTCAATAGCTGAAGAAGGCAGTCTATTTATTAAAAAAACTGCAGTTTGGAAGGCCTCCACCCAAAATTGTTTGGGAAGCCCACCGTGAAACAACATAGTCATCCCGAGTTCCCTTATAACGCGATGACGACGTTCAACAGATCCAGTTTGCTGTGGAGTATATGGGCAAGAGATCTGATGGATCATTCCTTCACGCTTAAAATGTGTAGTCAATGTAGAATTTACAAACTCACCTCCTCCATCCGAATGAAAGATTTTAATTTTCTTGTTAAATTGCCTGTCTACGTACCGTTCAAATGCAATATATGTAGAGGTGAAATCAGATTTGAGACGTAAAGGAACAAACCAACAGTATTTGGAGTAATCATCAACAATACAAGCATAATATTGAAAATTTCCAAAAGAAGAAACAGGTGCAGGACCCCACAAATCGACATGGATTTTTTCAAACAACTTTGAACTAACATAATCAGAATGAGAAAATGGAAATTTGCTCAATTTTCCTAATTGACAACTCTCACATAGAGTAGTCCTTTTATTTGAACTAGTGCTTTTAATTAAACCCTTAGACTTTAGAAGATTAACAGTTGACATGTGTGGATGCCCAAGCCTTTGATGCCACACCTCCTCTGTGGTATTAGTGAATCTATTCGAGAAATGAGCTTCATGATGAGGTGACAAAATGTACAAATCATCCTTGCGCTGCCCCGTCATTAGTATTCGTCCTGTCTCTCGCTCCTTAACATAGAAATTTGCATTAGAGAATTCACAATTAAAGGGAAATTGATCAGTAAGTTGACTAACTGAGAGTAAATTACGAGCCAAGGAAGGAACTAACAGAACATCACGCAACTTTAGTTTTTCTTTACCATTTTTTACTAGTGTGTCACCAACGGCTTTAATAGAGAGAGCGTGCCCATTACCAACTAGAACTGAATCAGTTCCCAGGTATGAGCGTAAATTGAACAAAAGTTTGGAGTTACCTGTCATGTGATTTGAAGCACCCGTATCAGTTGTCCATTCGGTATCTGGTACAGATGTATCAAGTGTGAGAGCAGTAAGAGCATGAGGAATTTCTTCGACATGAAATTGTTTATCTTTGTACCAACAGATGGATGCTATATGTCCAAGTTTGTCACAAATCTGACATTTTTCATAACGATATCTTTCACGCTCTGCAGGTGTCATTCGACGAAAAAGAGTCCCTTCAATGTGGATAGGTCCAGTCCCAGATCTCCGTTTTTCATTTCGACCTCCAGAAGTATTTGTGTTTGTGGGTTGGAACCCTCGGCCTTGGGAGGTGAAATCATGACCAGGGGAACGATTGCTATTGCCTTGCTGGGCAGAAAAACGATTGTTATTACCTTGTTGATTCCGTTGTCGTTGACCATAGAATGCAAGATGCTGAGGTTCATGCCATTGAACACGTTGTTCATAGCCTTGAAGTAAAGAAACGACCTCTGAATAACCAGGCATGGGTGGTTTCAGCATTGTGGTGGTGAAGGTCTCATAACGTGGACCTAGACTTGTAAGCAGAGAGTAGACCTTCTCTCTGTCTTGCACAGGACGACCAATTGCTGCAAGACTATCGCACAGTTTTTTAAATTGACGAAGATGCTCAGTTAAGGGAGTTGTAGCATCTTTCTTGAGATAAGTAAGTTGTTGGCGTAGAGTGAATTCTCTCTCTTGCGAATCTTGGGCATAGGCTTCTTGAAGTCCTTCCCAAACTTGTTTGGCAGTTTGAAGACCAACAACCAGACCAAGGGCTTCTTCTGTCAGGGTTCCGATGATCCACCCTCGAAGTAAGCGATCCGATTTTCTCCATTTGAGATAGTCTTCACTGAGTATAGGTTTGTCCGTTTTTGCGGTTTCTGGAGAGTAAATGGCTGGGATTTCCAATTCTCCATTGAGATGTTCAAACAGATCTTGGCTTTCGGCTAGTGAGATGACTTGCTCACGCCACAGCGGGTAATTTTCTGGGTTAAGTTTGATGTTAACAAAGTTGCTGACATTGAGAGAGATAGTGGCCATTGTTATAGCGGAAGAATAGAGATATGCTCTGATACCAAGAAGAAAATGATGGTTTAAGAGTC